ACACACACGGTCTCTCTCACACACTGTCTCTCTCTCTCTCTCACACGCTCTCTCACACTCACTGTCTCTCTCTCTCACACACACACACGCTCTCTCACACTCACTGTCTCTCTCTCTCCCTCCCTCTCTCTCTGTCAGACTCATTCGCTCCCTAGGGTCACTCTAACAAGCAGATTGTGACACGTTCTGGGGAGCGCAGCCAAGTCGGCTGCACGCTTGGCAGACAAATCAATGAATTGGGAAATGAGGTCAGGAAGTCCTTCCAAAACTGCGAGAGTAACAAATCAGCCCGCTCCCCCAGCACTGACATATACAGAGCTCCCTCTGCAAATAGCAGATCAAAGCACTGTCTCCCCAAAATATCCAAAACCAGGCAGATTCCCGATCAGGAAAACAACTCAATGGGAATCAAACTAATCTGTACATCAGATCAACGATCCCTGGCTCTGAAAATCAGATAGGAAACTGGTCCCTGACAGAGACAGAGAGAGAGAGAAAGGCTCCCTCTTTAAACAGGATCTCTGACAGAGAGAGAGAGACAGATAGAGACACAGAGAGAGAGAGACTCCCTCTTTAAACAGGCTCCCTGACGGAGAGAGAGAGAGATACTCCCTCTTTAAACAGGAACTCTGACAGAGACAGAGAGAGAGACTCCCTCTTTAAACAGGATCTCTGACAGAGACACACAGAGAGAGAGACAGATAGAGACACAGAGACAGAGGGAGAGAGACTCCCTCTTTAAACGGGGTCCCTGATGCAGAGAGAGGGAGAGACAGAGAGAGATACTCCCTCTTTAAACAGGCTCCCTGACAAAGAGAGAGGGTCTCTCTTTACTGATGTCTTTCCAGACAATATAGACCCTGGAAAAGTGTCTATGGATTGGAGAGTAGCTGCATGATTGAAAAAGGAGAGTGAGGGAAAGCGGGGAAAACCTGGATACCAATGACATCAGTCCCGGAAAAAATGCTGAAACCAATTGTGAAAGGTGTAAAAGCAGAAAACCGGTTGCAATCAGCTACGGTCAGCATGGATCGACGAAAAGGCGAAATCAGTTGGGATTAAATCGACTGAAATTCTTCACAGTGTAACTAGTGACGAGAACAGGGGAGACATGGATGTGGTTCATTTGAGCTTTTGGAAAGCTGTTGATAGAAGTCCCACAGAAGAGATTAATGTGGATAATTAAATCACAGGGCATTGGCGGGTACTCTACTGATTTCAATAGAACATGAATAGGACACAGAGAGGGGAAATTAATGGGTAAATTGCTGACAGTCAGCATCGCAGGAGCAGCTGGGGGTGAGGAGGGGAAACGGGATGTAGTCCTTCCTAGGGAGAGGATTGGAGAACAGGAGCAGGGGCGTCTCGCTGCGACTGGACCCACCTGGAGTATTGTGTGTACAGTTTGGGGGTCTCTGTATCTGAGGAAGGATGTTCTGGTGATGGAGGGAGATCAGCAAAGGTCTCCCACACTGATTCCTGGGAATGACGGATGGAGAGAGACTGGATCGGTTCGGATCGTATTCACTGGAGGTTTAGAAGAATTGGGGGTGGGGAGGGATCTCATAGAAACCGACAAAATTCTGACAGGGTCCACACAGGAAGGATGCTCCCAATGACACGAGGTGGGGAGTCCAGAACTGGGGAGGGGGAATCACAGTCTAAAGGAGACTGGGGTGGGACTGAGATGAGGGAGAAATGTCTTCACCCAGAGGGTGGGGGAGTGCATTGGTATTCTCTGTCACAGAAAGCGATCGGAGCCAGAACATTGAATGTTGTTCGAGAAGGAGTTGGATACAAGTCTGAGGGATCACAGGGGCAACAGGGGACTGAGATGGATGATCAGCCGTGATCGTGTTGGATAACGGAGCAGGCTCGAGGGGCCGAATGGCCCCACTCCTACTCCCCTCAGTTACCATGTGTGTCTCTTTCTTTCTCTCTCTCTCTCTCTCTCTCTCTCCCTCCCTCCCATACCGTCTCACCTCAGGAGTCATCCAGTCGTTCGCTGGATTCACCGACTATTTCACCGTGATGGCTCAGGAGGGCTGGTACCCGCTATTGTGTATCGGACTCCGTGCCCAGTGGGAGGACCAGAGCCTCAACTCGCTGGAGGACAGCTACGGGCAGGAGTGGGTATGTACCCACCTGGCAAACAGGGGCTAGGCCCTGGGGATTGGTATGTACCCGCCTGGCAAACAGGGGCTAGGCCCTGGGGATTGGTATGTACCCGCCTGGCAAAGAGGGGCTAGGCCCTGGGGTTTGGTATGTACCTGCTTGCTATGCAGGCTCTGGCCTCTGGGTGCCATGTGTGGAGTGGAGTAGGTGATATGTGGGGACATTTGGGCCTGTTTGGCCTGTATGGGGGCAGTTGGGTCTGTGTGGGAATAGTGGAGTGAGTCTGGAGGCATTTGGACCTGGGCTGGGGCATTTGGACAAGTCAGACCCTTGCCACGCTGAAGGCACCAGGGAGCTGTTGTGCCCTTTCAATTGGTAATGCCGGCAGTGAGATTTGATCGGACAGCTTTGGGTGAACAATCCCGAGAGTGCTTAGAATGACGACCGATTGGAGATGACAGGCCAGGCTTGTGATGTCACTCGCGGTCACTGGAAGCTACGAAGATTCAGAGCCAGGGATGCATTGTCCACTGGCAAAGGGAACCTGACCTGGGACAGTGACCTTTGCAAGTCAATAATAGGGGGCAACCACAGTTTCTTGTTCCCTGGCACCTGACCAATCAATTTTCAGCCTTCCCCAGTGCAATGTAAATTATTGTTCCTGTCCTGACGATACACTGAGATGCTCACTCTTTGGAATGATGAATGGCCTCCTCCTGTTCCTGTGTAACAGGCTCAAAGTGAGGGCTGAATGGTCTCCTCTTGTTCCTGTGTAGCAGGCCTGAGGAGGGCTGAATGGTCTCCTGTTGCTGAGTAACAGGCGAGGAGGGGGGATGAATGGCCTCCTGTTGCTGAGTAACAGGCTTGGGGGGTTGCTGAATGGCATCCTCCTGTTCCTGTGTAACAGGCTCGAAGTGAGGGCTGAATGGTCTCCTCTTGTTGCTGTGTAGCAGGCCTGAGGAGGGCTGAATGGTCTCCTGTTGCTGAGTAACAGGCTTGGGGGGTTGCTGAATGGCCTCCTCCTGTTGCTGAGTAACAGGTTCAAGGGGGCTTTCCAGGAGTTGACGGAGTTGCTAATTTCCTGCCCCTGAGCCGAGCTGCCCTACCGCTCCATCCTAATTGTTGACTCCTCTGTCTCGCAGACATACTGGCAGCGCCGCTATCAGCAGTACACCTGCTACACCGTCTTCTTCATCAGCATTGAGATGTGTCAGATCGCTGACTGCCTGATTAGAAAGACCCGCCGTCTCTCAATGTTCCAGCAGGGAGTCTTCAGGTGAGGGGACCAAGACCCACTCGCATACCCCGGGCCCCCCTCCCCACATCTCTCTCTCTCTCGGACGGCCAGCTCGGCTTCACGGAGGGGAAAATCAGACTTGGGCAAATGTATTAGAATTCTTTGAGGAGGTAACACGCAGGATAGAGAGAGGGGAAACTGTCAATGTAATATATTTAGATTTCCAGAAAGCAGTTGAAAAGGTTAGGTTATTTCATAAGGGCAAGGGAGTCTAAAAACTAGGTTTAAGGTGAGAGGTGAGGGATACAGAAAAGTCGAGAGGGGGCAACTTTTTCACGCAGAGGGTGGTGAGTGTCTGGAATGGGCTGCCAGAGGAAGTGGTAGAGTCTGGTACAATTGAGGAAACATCTGGACAGGTTCATGGATGGGACAGGTATTGGGGAGGGGGAGGGGGAGGGGGAGGGTAGGGGGTGGCGGGGAAGGTGGTATGGACCAAACACAAGCAAATGGGACTGGATTGTAAAAACGGCCGAAGGGCATGTATCCATGCTGTAGATTTCTATGACTCTAACAGCCTGTGGTGTTGGAGGTAGGATATTATTCTGAGAGGATTGGCTCAGCAAGAGAAAACAGAGAATGGGGGCAAGGGGGACATTTTCAGGATAGCAGCCTGTAACTAATGGAGGGCCACAGGGATCAGTGCTGGGCCCACAATTATTCACAATATCCATTGATGACTTGGAGGAGGAAAGTGAATGGACTGTAGCCAGGTTTGTGGGGGGCCCATGAAGAGACGGGAAGGTAAATGCTGAAGAGGACATGCCGAGTCTACAGAGGGATATAAACAGGTGAAGGGAGTGGGTAAGCACTAAGCAGGTGGAACAGAATGTGGGGAAATGTGAGGTTAACACTTTGGCAGGAAGAATCGAGAAGTTGAATCTTATTTAAATGGAGACAGACTGCAGGAAGCTGCAGCACAGAGAGACTGGGGACCCCCTCGTCCATCGATCACAAAAAGCTAACGCCCACGTTCAGCGGGGAACAGGGAAAGCCAATGGAATGTTGGTCTTTATTTTAAAGGGAATGGGGCATAAAATTCAGGAAGTTTTTCTGAAACTATACAAAGCCCTAGTCAGACCACAGGTGGAATACCGTGAACAGGTTTGGGGCCCCGTATCTAAGCAAAGATAGACTGGGCTTTGGAGGCAGTCCTGAGAAGGTTCACTTGGCTGATCCTGGGGATGGAGGGAATGTCTTATGAGGGAGAGGTTGAGTAGGTTGGGACCTGTCCTAACTGGGGTTTAGAAGAATAAGATGTGACCTTATTGAAACAGACAAGATTCTCAGGGGGCGCTGGACAGGGAAGATGTGGAGAGGGTGTTTCCCATTGTGTGGGAGAGTCTAGGACCAGAGGGACATCATTTCAGAATGTGGGGTCGCCATTGAAGACAGAAATGAGGAAGAATTTCTTCTCTCTGAGGAGAGTGAATCTGTGGAATTCTTTACCGCAGAGGGCTGGGTCAGTCAGTATAGTCGAGGCCGAGGTGGAGAGATTTTTAACAAGGAAGGGAATCAAGGGTTATGGGGAAAAGGTAGGAGCTTAGAAACAAAAGCAGAAATTGCTGGAAAAACTCAGCAGGTCTGGCAGCACAGGTCCATGTGGCACACCACTTCTAAGGTCTGACCAGCCTGAAAATGACCCATGTATTCCTGCTCTGTTTTCTGCTAGCCGGTCACTCCTCTCTCCATGTCAATCTGTTATCCCATACACCAGGAACTTTAATTGTTCAGAATAACCTTCCATGTGGTACCTTGTGAAATGCTTTCTGGAAATACATTACATTTACTAGTCCCCTCGATCTATTGTGGGTAATCCTCTTCGGAAAACACAGAATGGAATGGTCAAGCATAATTTCCCTTTCACTGAATCATGTTGACTCTGCCTGGTTATCTTGAATGTATTCAAGTGTCCTGTTATAACCTCTGTAATAATAGAGATTTGATTATTTTACTGATGACTGATATTAAGCTGGCCAATCTTAACCATTCTATCGCTCTCCCTTTATGGATGCAGCAATGTAATTTGCTTTCTTCCAACCTCACACGACAGTCCCCAGTGGAAGGGGGTTTTGGAAAACTGAAACGGCACATCAACTCTCTCACCAGCCCCTTCCGCTAGGGCCCTGGGTTGACATCTATCCGGATCCAGGCTCCTAGCTCTGATAATGCACTCAGTCTCACCTCCCCACAGATTGTGGTTTCCCCGAAATTTCTACCTCCTCTTCATTTCCTGGTTCAGAAACATTCCTAAAACCTCTATGGTGAACACAGATGTTAAATACCTGACCCATCCATCCACCATCTCTTTATTGCCTGTCTGTAATTAGCTGGTCTCACTTCCACTTTCTATAGAAACTCTAACTGCCTGTTTCATATTTCTGACGAGCTCTCTCTGACTTGAAGTTATCCATCCTGATCAATTTCTTTCTGTTCGGCTCGAACGCCTGACCTGTCCTTTCACAACGAGATGATTTCCCCTGCAGTTTGATGTGACTTTTACAATTTTATTTAATGGGAGATGAGAGGTTTGTCTCTTGCATGTGTTCCTGCTTTGCTGCAACATCTGTTCTGACAGTTGAAGAGATAGCACATGGCTGTGGGGCCGAACAGCCTCCTGCTATGCTCCAGCTTTCTGAGTGACCATCCACCTCTTTCTCCCACAGGAACAAGGTCTTGATTTCTGCCATCATCTTCCAAGTCTTGCTCGGTAACTTCCTGTGTTACTGTCCAGGAATGCCCAACATCTTTAACTTCATGCCCATCCGGTAGGTACTGGGATGGGGGGCCAAGGTGGGGGGGGGGGGGGGGGGGG